AAAGCCAGCGAGTAAAGACTGAAAACCTGCTTGTGTCTCACTGAGGACTCACAGCAGAAGCCCTGAACAAAACCTCCCAGCAAAGCCACATGGATGTTGCTAAGCAAAAGCCTTTCTCTGAAGCAGCCACTCACCCATGCAAGCGAATGTGAAGCGCGCACTGTAATGTGTGTGAACATCAAGAGTTTGTTCAGCTCTTCAGCGGCTGAAATAATTAATCTCTGACATCTGAATTCTTTTATTTCCTCCACCTTTGCCTTTCTAGCACACTCCAAATCCAGCACTGCAATTATCTGTGCTGCTAAGGAAGCCAAATGAAGCATCTCTGGCAAACCCCATGAAGCATCTTCGGCAAACCTCCCACCCTTTCATCTGCTTCCTCTGCTCACTCTGTGAGCAAGATAGATCTCTTCTTCCTCACAGGAAGGTACTTACAGAAAGATGCCTTCTTCATGCGGTGTGCCTGGCCCACGTGGGAGAGCAGACCTAGGCAGCTGAGGGCTTAGGGGGTGAGTAGGTGGAAGAGTCAGTAAGTTTTGATTAGGAAGCTGATAAAAGAGGTATGGCAAACAGCATTCCTTTGGTTTTTTTCTGAAAGCTCTGAGAGGGGAAGAGGGCATGTGGTTGTTGGAAGAATTAACATAATCAGCTGTCAACCTGCTAAGGCCGATTAGCAACCAGCAGCTAAACCCAAAAGCAAGTAACCAGAATTCCCACTCCAGGACTGCCAGGTTTGCATGTAGGGGTGTAAGCACGATGAGCTTCTTGGCATCTGGGTCTGACACCTCCCAGCAGTGTTGGGCTCATGTCACACATGCCAGGGAGATGCCAGACACCAGAACCAGTGCACAGTTGGCAGGACTAAGTTGCTCCACAGAGAGGAGATGGTGCTGACCCCTAGCCACAAAGCCTCAACCTGCTCACACCTCTCCCATTTCATCTCTGTTTCAGCTCTTGGAATGGCAGTACTCAGCTAATGTGGCAAATCAGCCTCTGCAGGGTTAAAGATGAGCTCATCAGCCTGGGTGATGACAAGTAGGAAAGAAAATACAAGCAAGGAGTCATTAATTAAGGCAAGAAGCTAGGAGCAGAGACTGCAGAATGCTAATCAGTCTGGAGGGAAGGCTGCGTGGAAAGCAGCAATGAAGCTCCTTCAGCTTTAATTAAATCTAACTATATCAAGGATGTGACATCTTTGCTTCACCTCTGCTTTTGAGCTGAGAAACCGGTTGGAGCATGTACACTGTTCCTGGGCAGACAGGAATTCCCTCCTGGCTCCAGAGCCTTCCCAACTGAAACTTAGTGCCTGCCCATCCTGCTCACATGCTCCCCAAAATCAGGGCTTAGCACCAGGCAGAGATTAGGGAAGGGGCCTGGGGCTTGCAGCCACTTGTCACATTAAATGCACCCTCTCCTAAGGTCTTCCTTGTCTTCTCTGCCCTGTTTTATTTAGGCTTCACCCAAATGTGCAGCAGTCAGTTCTGAGATGATCTGCTTCCTTTGCAAGCTGGGACTAGGAGGAGCAGGATCGGGGTGAGAAACAGCCCAACAGCATCTGGGCAAGAACAGGCAGCATCCAGCTGTGCCACATCACTCTTCCTGACTCCTGTTCCCTTTTCCCTCCAGTGCTTTAGGCTGTGTAGTGAGTCTTCACCCACAGAAATGATGTAGGTATTTGTGTTGCCCAGAGGTGGGTTGAGGCCATGTGAGCTGGCCACCAGCCATGGCATCATGTGCAAAGGGTGGCTGTAGAACTTGCTGTCCCGGGAAGGTGGGTAAGGCAATCTGGACATGTTTCTGAAAAGCATCAACTGCAGAGGAGTGGCAGCCATCATGAAGGGAGGGAGCTTGGAAAATCACAAGCAGGGATAGGAGGCGAGGGAGGCTCGAAGTGCAGAAAGCAACATCAAGCACTTGAATGGAGAAAGAAAACTAATTCCCAGCACAGCTCTTCAGCTGGCCTCCACACAGAAAAATGGGTGTCCTTGGAGCTGAGCTCCAGCAAGGTCTACAACAGCTTCAGCAAGCGTTAGAAATACCACGTCACCTGGGAATTTAAGAGCAGGCAGGACAAAGCAATAAGGAAAGATTTACGCAAACGGAAGTAGGGAATAGAAAGAGAACAGAAATAAGGGGGAGATTGTGGCTCTGCTCACACACATCACAGCTCTGCAAGCTGCCTGATGTCACCCAGCCCTGCTGCACAATGTCTACAGCACTGACAGCATTGGAGGGCACTGCTGGGACCAAAACACCTTTACTTTTTACACAACCTCCAGCACCATGCATGGGGACAAGTGAAGACACCAGCAGATTCTGCAGGCCATGCAGGGCTCAGGACACCACCGATGGCAACTGCATAGCTTCCCACAACTTAGCATTTGATGCAGCCTTGTGCTGGCAATTGGCTCCCAATGATGATCTCTCTCCTCTCTGCCAGCTGGGACTCCTCAGCATGAGTTCCCTCGCTGTTTCAATTACCTAGAAAGAGAGGAGTGTGGTCCTTCCAGATTTCCAGGCTACAGAGTCTGCTGTAGCACCCAGTCCTTGCATCTCCACCTGGAAAGTCAGCCCATAGGCCTTTGCTGGGAGGGATATCTCCATGAACATGATAACTGTGGGCAGTGGGGTGTAGGAAAGTGAACTGCTGTGGAGAGAGAATGATCTGCCTTGTTCAGGGCAAAGGTGTTCATTCTGAAACCTACTGGTGCCATGACAATCTGTAATTGTTTCCCATCTTCAGTGTGGAAGTCTGTGTGCCCCACAATGTCACTGCTTTCCACAAACACTTTTTGCCAAGCTTTCCCTCTTTCAACCTGCTATTAAGAAATTATGGGTGCAGATCTGCCTCATGTTAAGAGTTACATACTCAGGATCCATACAGCACTAATTAAATTCCATATGTAATTAAGGAAAAGGAGGGTTGTTGCAATGACTAAGTTTACTGTGAATGTTGTGAGTGGTGATGGCAGGTCTCAGACATGGCTACAGGATTGTGGAGGAGGTGGCTGAGGAGCTCTGGGGAACTTGAACTCAGTGGGTTTGAATGAGCGAGCTCATCTCTCACTGCCAACATAAGATCATCTCAGTGGGGATAAGGTGTGGGTCTGATGATCCTGAAAACCCTTGTCATGCGGTCAGAAACTGTGATGCTAATGGATATTCCTTTCTTGCCTCTCTAGACCCTTTCTAGGGCTTCTTCCTGGTTTTCTTCTACAGCATGACCAAAAGCTCCCAGGCCACAGGACTGAGGCTCAGGGGCTCTATCTGTGCTGGCAAACAGGATCTGTCTTGCTCACACTTGCAAGTCAGGTGGCATCACACACCTTGTGTTCCCAGAGCAAAACTGTCTCATCCAACGGAGGGTGGCCTTGGGTGGCTGCAGTCACCTGCAGCACATGGACTTGGCACACTGGGAAAGCTGAGTATCCTGCTTGGTCCTCCCCTCCCCTCTCATGACTCATGTCATGGCCACGTGACAAAATGAGAGCTATGTGAGGTCAGCCGGGCACCGCAGCAAACCACAGCATTGCAGCAATGCAAATCCCACTGGCTCCCTCCCTCCCACATGTGCTAGACTGATCAAAGGCCTTGCTTGGACATTGTTTTCATTGGCTTCTCTGGCAGCCTGATGATGCAGAAAAATGCTGGAAAAAGATGTTGTGGGGCTGAAGTCCCAACACAACCAAGTGATGCTCACCCCAGCTCTGGAGCAGCAGGATGCTGCTAGTGTGCGGAAAAGTCTCCTGCCAAAACGGAAAAGTCTCCTGCCAAAACATGAGCGCTCTGCCAACACATTGCTTCCCATCTCCCTCATGCCCTCTTGTCCACCCTTTTGCCATCTGCTTGTAGCCCCTCACTTTGCACTACCTTCTCACCACCACTTTCTGTCCCTGGAAATGGCTCTCACCCAGCCCCACACATTTCTCATTTATATTGCCCCCACACACACCAGGTACTCTCACCATCCCTCCCTTTCCCTCTCTCTACTTCTGTCTCCTTCTATGACTCTCTTAAACACTGGCAGTGCTGGAGTCATATTAAAACCCTCAGCTTTGCTGCTTCTGGGCACTTTTGCAGTGTCTGCAAAGGCAAATAAACCAATTGCCGCCATGCCAGTGAGTCTGTGGTCAGATGGCTCATGCGGCCTACACCACCTCCAACCCAAACTGCAGAGCCCTGTGCACGGCAGAGATTGTATCCAACACACAGCAAACAAGGCAGGAGAAGGCAATTACCAGGTTTATTAAGGTCAAGCAGGGGAGAAATTCCAGCAACTTCTGATTTCTTGTCCCACCCTGCCATCCCTGCAGCACTTCCCACTGTCAGGCTGGGAGGATTCTTGGCCCTGCTACAGGGTGTCATTGAGCTGCTGCCACAGCTAAAGGTTTCTCTGCAGCTGCTCGGGGCAGCAGGGACAGAGCAGGGGAAAGCTTTTCTCCCAGATGGACATGGGTCCCACAGCTATCCCACAACAGTGGCCAGTCTTGGAAGATATCCCAACCCCCTCAGTGGTGTTGGCCACATGCTCTCCTGGAAGTCTTCTCCACCATGTAGAAAGGAGCACTAAGGACTGAGCTAAGTGCACATGGGGGTGATGGGTCTGTTTCTTTCTCCTTTGCCTCACCATGATTGTCACTTGGCTCTACAGCTCATTTTGCAGCTTGGCTACTTTCTTTTGCTTTGGTGACAGCCATCAATTCACTCACCATCGTCATCATCACATAGAAAAAAAATGTCTGGCCAAGTGAATAAACAGTGCGTGTGGGGCTAATATCGCTGAATAACATCACTGCTCTGAGAGCAAGAGGACCTTCAGCCCCAGAAGGAAGGGATGAAATTCCAAGTAGCAAGCAAAGATCAAAGAGGAGGCAGCAATCCCTCAGAAATTTGAGAAAGGCAAACAGAAAGTAAGCAGAGGGGTGGATCAGGTAGAACAATGCTGTGCAGATTGTGTCATCGAGCTGTTGGCACAGACAGCTGACTTCCTTGTGCACCAGTTCAGTACTGGCAAAGATCCTTTGATCTGGATGCAGAGGCGAGGGAAGGGGGCAGAGATGGATGAAGGCTGCCCCTGGCACATAGGAAAAGAAGGGCATGTGGGCAGGGGACAGTGTTTCTCCACTTGGGACTCTCAGGAAGAGAGGCTTCCAGCTACTCTTTTCAGACTCAGGTCCCTGTGAACTCCACCCTTCCCACCCATGCTCTGATGTGACCTTAACAGCCTGGATTTCCTACCAGGATATTTTCATTTTGGTTTCCTCCCTCTCAGAGTTTCAAGTCGTTGCACAAAATTAGCAAGTTAGGAGGTTGGGAAATGGAGTCCTTAAAATGTGTTGCAGGAATGCTGCTCAGGTCACTTGACATCATATTAACATGTCCTTCTATTCTGCATCTGGTTAGGTGGATTGTGACATTCCTAGGTGAATGCTGTGGGCCAGCGAGTGAAGGTGAATGGGGCAATGGGTTTACCATTGCCACAGGATCTTTTGGTGGCTCTGCTGCATCCATTCCCCTCTGCCTCACATTATTTGGCCTGTTTGGGAATAGAGTGGCTACTCACAGTCTGGAAAATGTGTTTCTTCACTTAGTTCATCTGTGGTGAACAGTCAGAAACTCCTGAGTTCCTCTTAAAGTGGTCATGTTTAGGGAATGGCAAGCTGTTGCCAAATGTTCCTCCTCCAGTATCCCCTTTTTAACAGAGACCATGGCATCTGGAAGCTGCTGAGTCCATGCTCTGGCATGACTGGCACCTTCATGGTCCCTCTTCCTGGTGTCTTCTGGGACCTGGGTCACCTCAGTGTTGCCTCCATAGAAACCTCTGGTGCTGTTGATGAAACCTCTGTCCACATTGACCATATGGAATTTCCTTCCAACTCTCTTCTTCTTCTTCCTGGTCTTGTTCTGGAAGAAGAGGCAGGTGAAGACCTGCTTGAAACGCTTGCGGAAATGCTTGGAGATGAGGGCGTAGACAATGGGGTTGAGGCAGGAGTTGGTGTACGACAGGCAGTGGGAAGCCAGGCGGCAAATGTAAGTGGCTCGGTTGAAGGGGAAGTGGCCAAACCAGAAGCAGAGGATGACCAGGTGGTGGGGCAGCCAGCAGAGGCAGAACAGGATGGCCACAGCCACAATCATCTTGGTGACCTTACGCTTGGCCTTCCGGGACTCTGAGATTCTTTCTATGGGGTCTACGGAGGTCCACAGGAACTTGACGGTCCTAATGTACGCCAGGCTCACCACGGTCACGGGCAGGAGGTATCCAAAGACAAACGTGAGGATGTCCAGAACCTTTCGGCGCTGGTCCTCCCAGATGGGGACACAGATGGGCATACCGTGGTAGTGGATTGTCTGGTAGTAACTGAGGTAAGGCCCTGCGAAGAGCAGCGACAGTGACCAGATTGCTGCAATGGCCACTCCTGCGTTTTGGGAGGTGCGGAGGTCACGGGACTTCAGTGGATAGCGAATGGCCAAGTACCTGGCAAGGAGGGGAAGGAGATGGAGAGACCAAACACAAGATGGGTGAGATGAGGTATTTCTCCTGCCCTGTGGGGCTGCCATCTGTGCACCCCTACCCATGCAGCCACCCATCCCTCCCCTCTGCCACCTCTTGGGAGTGAGGGTTACAGTGAATTCACAGCTATATCAGGGTCATTACAACAGTGAGGCTGAGATCTCCATCATCCACTCTGCTGTACTAGCTCAGGAAGGGCAAGCAGTGTGTCTCCTGAACCAGGGAAGAGAAAGATAGGAGCAAGACTCTACTGTTTCCCCTGAGGTGTGTTGCTGTCCCGGGGCTTTTGCTATTCTTGGTTATGCATGGTGGACACTCCTCCTTCCCAAGTGAGGGTCAGTAATCAAGCTGAGAACTTGGCTTCCTGGAAGGTGAGGGCATGGAGAGTTGGCTCTGCTGGCTCTGCCCCTGGGGAGACCCAACCTGCTTTTTACAGGACATTCAACAGGGCAGCCTTTCTCCCACCTCTTAGCTCAGGAGTAGCAAACACATTGTCTCTGAGCTGAGAGTCTCAAAGGGAAGGGGAGACTTACCTGTCAATGGAGACGGCAGCCAGGGTAAAGCTGCTGGCATACATGGTGAGGTAGATCAGGAAATGCACAGCCTTGCAGGCAAAGGCCCCAAAGAGCCACCCATCCAAGGTGTAAATGGTGGCCTGGAAAGGGACACAGCAGATGATGAAGCACAAGTCTGCCACAGCCAGGTTAAGGATGAAGAGGTTGGTGGTGGTGTACTTGACTTGGCCATTCTGCAGCAGCACAGCCAGCACCAGCCCATTCCCCACAGTACCCACAAGGAAGATGAGGGAGAAGATGATGGGCACAATAATCCCTGCTGCTTGAAGCTCCAGGCTGTCAGAAGAGATATTCCATCCCTCTGGCATCTCCCCACCTGACCGTGGGGACCTGCATGGGAAGAAAGAGAGAAAGCTCTAAGGTGCCTGATTCTAGCCTTTGACACCCATATTTCTCCAGAGATGCCAATCTCAACCAGCTGGTTAAATGATGACACTAAGATCCTCATGATCCTCATGGCAAGAATGTTGTTGGGATCAGTCAGCTCACACCTGGCTTGAGCAAAGCTGAAGCCCCCTTCTCCTGCCCAAATTCACATTCCCACCATGGCATCTCCTGTGCTCCCAGCCCCCTGAAGGATCCCCGCTGCCCTACCACTTGGCCTCCTCTATATTCCTCCTACAATCCCAAAGCTACTAAACCTCTTGGGATTGCTTGCTTTGGCAAGTCTAAACCCTGGCTAGTATTCAACCGGGCTTGTCCACGAGGCCATGGGGGAAGGGGGCTCCCATGGTCTGTGAGTGGTCCTGGCACACTCAGCCCAGGGCTGTGCCACCTCCGTCAGCAGGGACCTGATGCCTGGATCACACCCCACAGCAGCAGCACCCCAACATACTCTTATCACGAGGGAACTCCTTAAGCTGGGACCACCTCCACTCTAGAACTGGCTGCTCCTTGCTCCCGGTGCAGTAGCTATGCTCTGCAGAGAAGAGGCAATTAAGGGCACCTTTTCATGATACTGAGGGGTGGTAATGGGCTGGATGGTGGCAGCTTGGTGAGGAGCTGCCTGAAATACAACGACAAACACTGTGAAGAAGTGTGTTATTACCACAGCTCAAGGTATTGTGATCTGCAGCAAAACTTCCTCCAGCCCTGAGTAACACTGTGCTCAGGCAGGGAGTGCCAACAGCCTATCTCCAAACGAGCCTTCCCCTTGTTTGCTATCACTAGAACAAATTGTCCTTCTCCGAGCAATAACTGAGAGGGAAAGACACCATTATCTAGCTACTGTTGACATGCAATTAACTCGGTTTTGGGTCATGCAAGCTCCTTCACCCCATGCTCCCCCACACCTCAGCTCACACCACCTTGTTTTCCCAGCTCCTATGTGTATCACATCAAAAGACTTTCTCTGCCTCTCTGGTTCTTCTGTCCCCTCTGTCCTACCAATAACTATCCATCCAGCCCCATGAGATCTCCTCAATGAAGCAGAGGAGCCCGGCCTCCCTCTGGGCATGCATGGTCACCAGGGTGTCTCTTCTCAGGGAGCCTGAGGCCACCTCTCAGCTTGGGAAGCCGGCACTCACCTTTTCAAGGAAGGGCCTGAAGCTTTGCCACTCGCTTGGGGAGGGGGAGAGCTCTGGTCCAGCCCAGGTGATGGTGACAAGGAGGATGCAGACTACCAAAGAGTTTGTCCAGGCAGCTTGGTCACTCCAGTCACTCCTGCCTGGTGCTCCGCTGCCTCCCCCTGCCTGCCATCAGCTCTGCTCTCTCTCCTTCTGGAACTCCTCTCCTTTCTCTCTGTCTCCCCCTTTTTCCCTCCCTCTGCTCTTGCTGCTGAACCATAGATCTCTGTTGATTTTTTTCCCCTTTCTCTGAGGTTGGGTTTGGAGTTAACTCCTCTCTGCCCAGCTTTCCTGCAGGCTCAGCTGCTCCTTGTTCCAGTGAGGAAGGGGTGGCAGAGAAAAAGCCCACTATTCTCTGGAGGGAGAGAGAGAATGGAGGGGGGAAGGGTCCCATGGACCCTGGTGGCCACCCCTCAGTGCTGAATGTTCAGGATGTCTTATCCAACACCTCCAGAGAACAAGAATATTCCGCCACAGCGAGCCTGGTCCCTGTCCTGTCCTCGGGATAGGGCCCTAAACCCTCTGGAGCATAAGCAATTAATTGCTATTACTGGCTGTTATTAATTATTGTTAATAGCATGGCTCTGAGTAGATTGAGCCTCTCACGCAATGTCTGACCTGGGGAAGGAGGAGAATGCAGGTTTTGGTTTCCATCCAGCCCAGATCTGCACACCACCAGTGCTGCCAGGGCACTGCAGGGTGAGGAGGGAGGACAAGCCACCAAGTGAGGCTATCTCCAGAGGTTCAGCTCTATCACAGTTGCCTGGGACAGCATGGGTGCTGGCTGATGTGCCAAGAGATGACAGTGACCCACACAGCCCTCCTGCCCTGTTGCCATGTCCACCCTGGTGACAGGACCTATACCCTGAGGACTTCCAGGTATGCTAAGACTGACTGCAGCTAGGTGATCCTTTCCCAGCAAGACTCAAAGGCCACCAGCTTCCCTTCGCTGGGAAGGTCCTGGATGCCTCTTCCAGTGATGGAGCAGGATGCGGAGAAGGAGGTGCTGGTCCCTTCCCCTCCACAGCAGCCCTGATAGCCCTCTGGGGTCAGTGGAACCCTGTGGCCTGACAGAAGGGATCATACAGCTTCTCGATCCCACATGCCTCTGTGGCAGAAGGGAGCATGGTGTCCCCGCCAGCTCATTATCAGCTGCTGTAACCAGGGAAAAGGGGAAGGCCGTGTCTTGGGACGTGGTGATAACCCGGGGGATGCGGCGGAGCACAAGCCTGTACCCTGCCACAGCACTGCTCACCATGGAGGGACCACACCGCTGCTACCTCCTCCTCCTCCTCCTCTGCCTGCTCCCACCACTGGGCATTCCAAGCCCACCACTGCCTCTGGAGGAACCTCAGGATCTGCCACTGACACTGTCCAGCACCGCTGACCCCACTGCCCACCTACTGCGCGGCCGCCCCTCAGCCCCAGTGCGGCCCTACAGCCTCTCGCTGTCCCCTGAGGATTACCACTACTCCCCCAAGCCCCGGCATCTGCGCCCTGGGCGGCTGCGCCGGCTCCTAGGCTCGGCCTTCGACCCCTTCTGGATGGCGACCGAGGAGCCCCGGGGTCGCAACAGCAGCATCCTCGAGGAGAACCTGGAGTCCATGAGCAGGGACCTGGCAGAGGGTGCTGGGCGCTACCGCCGCAAGCTGTGGCGAGAGGTGGAGGGACTGGAGCTGCCCAACCTGCTGCCCCCTGGCCCGGGGTTGCCCCCTGAGCTACCTGGGGCCCTGTCCCACCACCTGCGGCAGTGGCTAGTGGAACTGGCTGCCTGCCGCCTCACCTCCACCTGGGTTGACCTGGGACCCATCTTCTGGCCCCGCTGGGTGCGCCACACTGCTTGTGACACCAGACCCCCCGGCTGCTCCTGGCCCCCTGGCATGATCTGCCGCCCCACACAGCTCACTCGCATCAAGCTGCTGGCCTGGCACTGCTGGGTCCCCCAGCACCCAGGCCCACCAAACTGCACCTGGCGGCAGATCCCCTACCCTGTTGTGACTGCCTGCAAGTGTTCCTGCCGCTGAGGGGGCTGCAGGGGGCTATGGAGGGACCCCATGGTACCTGTTCTTGTAGCAAAAGGCCTGAAAAGGCAAGAGTCTGCCTGGATTCACCCTTGGATCTGGGGGGAATCCCCAAACAGAGAAATAAACCTCCAGAAAGGAAGCGCAGACGGCTGCTGTCATTGTTCTTTCTTGCCAAAAGCCTTGGGTGGGATGCCCCTTGCCCTCTGCAGGGAGGCATTAGCGCCAGTGGAGGCCCTTGTGCAGCATTTATCTCCAGCAAAGGATGCGGAATGGGAAAATCGTGGAACCGAGCAGCAGGCTCAGACCCTGTTTGCATCAGCCCCAGATGACTCAGTCCAAGCTGGGACATCCCTGCCTGCCTGGGTAGGGAAGCAGGCAGGGAGCGAGGGCAGGGAAATGTCAGCAGGGAAGGGGTAGAGGGAGGTGGGTCACAGCTCAGGGTGGAATCAGTGGTGGTTAGAGAGACTGTAGGGCATCAGCAGGTAGAGGGGCAGTTTTGGGACTGCAACGAGGCAGCCTAACAAGGATAGAAGTAGGGGGTGGACAGGGACCCAGGGCTGGAAGCATCTATAGGGCAGGGTGCATATGGAAATGGGATGGGATAGGACAGTCCTCTACTGGGTAAGATACATGAACCCCCCACCTATCCTGTGATGTGAATGACAGCTCCAGACTCAGGACTGTCAGAGTAGCATGTAAGGTCTGAGGTGGGTCAGGGAGCCTAAGCTGGGAACTGCATCCTTGAAAAGCAGTGTCTGCCTCTTCATTCCACCCAGCAAAAAGTCCTCTGCTTTCTGGGCAAAAAGCTGCATGGAGCTGTAAATCACATCTAAGCTGGGAGGCCTTTAAGAAATAAAGAGCTGGAGGCTTTGCCTGGGATTGCAATATTAACATGATGCCTTGCAGTTGATGGGCACTGCATTATTTGTTTCCAGCATGCCATCATCTGACCCTCCTTCTTTCCCAGGGCTCCAGCGCTCCCCAGTCTGCTCCCCAGACAGCTCCACAGTCTGCAGCAGAGCTTGGCCTTGAAGCAGGCAGAGAGGCAGAACAGTGTAGGGAGTTGGCTGCCGAGGGGCCTGAGAGATATGGAGGAGACAGGGAGGTCGGTGCACCTGGTGAGGGGGGAGCCCCCATGTGCACACAAGAACAATTGTGTGCGTCACAGGAGGGGGGCTGCTGCTGCTCTGGCTTGCAGCTGAGCAGCAAGACATCTGTATGGCTGTTCTCCCATTCAGGAGGACTTCAAAGCTGGAGCAGGGTTAAACTGTTTGGGTTAGCTGCCATGGACAGAGCAGAGACAACAGCAAGACTGCCCGCAGAAGGTCGGGGGAGAGGGGGAGACCAGGGCTGGGGACCAGCAGGAGAGAGGTTCTAGGGAGCATGGTACAGGTGTAGAGTGGAGGTGTGCAGGTAGGGGGGAGCAAAGGGGGGTGTGCACATGCATTGGGCTTAAAACAACAGTGATTCAGTTTAGGGTTTCAACCCCCTATACCAGATCCCATCTGGCTGAAGCTTCATCTCTTCCATGTTGCAAGAGGGGCCTGAGCACATCCCCGTGCCCTTTCCCCATTACATTCTCCATGTCAAAATACTGCCTGTTGAAAAGGGTTTGCAGCACTGTGAGTGTGTCTGGTGCCACAGAAGGGGAACTCTGTATCATAGTTTATCAGCAGGCAAATTAAACAAAATCAGCAGTTATGCTACCAGCTGTTCTAA